TCAAAGAGAGATTTCTATTTCGTCGAGTTCGAAAATCCATACATGTGCTCTTCACCTACTATTAGCTCTCTTCGGTTGGAAATATTGTGCTATACAGTTGCTCTTTCTGCTTTGAGTTTACTGTGTCGTGCTCAATCTAACTTCCCTTTCTCAAACATGTAGAGTTTATCATAAAATATACATCTCTATTAGTTTCTTTTATCTTCAGTTGCTTGGTTTTTGTGGTTTCATATGTGATGTTTTTTTTTATTTGTCAAGCTGTTTATATTCATGCTTTCTGGAAATTACAGAAATTATTATTACTACAACTTACACCATTTTGATTACTACATTATTGTTATGTTGTTGCTGGTTATTTCCTATCCTTCTTTTTTATATTTATTATTTATTTCACCTTCATTTGCAGTTTGTTTACTTGTCAGCTGATTGTTAATCGATCATTATTTGTTCATGCGATGTCCAGTTGATTGTTTGCTTTTGGTGTTGTGATTGTTACGTATTGTGTATTTTCCTTAGCGTCACTTATATAATCCCTTTGTACGTTTGCATGTAAAATCGCTGGCGAGTCTCGTGGATTTCATCTCCATCTCTTGCATGTCCCCGCTGAGCCGTAAAGGCTCAAAAGCTCTTCCCATCGAGTCAGCCTATCGAGACAGAAGTGCAGATTCGAAAATCCACGGAGATTGAAGAAAATCCAAGAATGGACTAGAAGATTTCCTTAGCTTCTTTTATATATTTTGCATTTATTTATTTTGTAATGGGCATAAGCCCTCGTCGTTTCCATTCTTTTATAGTTTATTTTGTATGTTTAGATTAGGACTGGTACAAATGGGTCAAAAACCCGAAAACAGGTGGGTCCAAATTCGGTCAAGGCGAACAGAACCCGAGCTTGGACCCAAATCTCTCTCTCTCCCTCTCTCTCTCTCTCTATTACTTTGTTTGTGCGTTCGTTTAAATTCTCGTTAGTATTAGGATGGGAAAACTCCAAACCCCTCGGAACGCCTATCTATTTTATCAAACTTAAGAAGTTTAACTAAAGGTGGAATCTCAAAGAGATAAATATTTCGAAACTTGTAAAGTTTGCCTAGATATCGTAAGAAGTTCAAAATTTGCAAGATAAATATTTTAAAAGTTGCAAAGTTTGTTTAAGTAGATCTTGATAAAGTTTTAACTTCGACTTGTAAAAATTAAAACAAAATAGTCAAATAGTCCGTCGTCGGAAAATCGTATTTAGCGGAGTATCTTAGGTGCCTTAAACACCTTCCTAAGATACTAATAGGAATCCCGAACCCTTAGAATAGTTTTCAAAATGATTATTTTCTGGTTAGTTGTTTTGAAAAATAAGTTTTCTTGATTTTTCTTAAAAAATTAAGTGGCGACTCCCAAAAGTCGAAAATACCCTTTAATAAAACAAACTCTTTTAGAAAATTATTTTTCGATAAAACAATGATCAGAAAATACTTAGTTCTCTAGCTCTTATTTTATTCATGCTTGTTAGGTTGCAGAAGTAGCTACACTTCATTAAGATTAGTAAGGTAAGATCTAGGCCCTCTTGTTTGTACTTGTCCCTATTGATATCTTTTATGTTTAATAAAATGAAAAATTTGTTATAAAAAATACTAATAATGGGCATAATCATTGTTATAAAAAAATACTAATAATAGTAATAATCAAGTGTACATTAGGCCTTGGAGAAAATGTACTTTTTTTTAGGTACTGTGTTGTTTTGCTTTTTGTGCTGTTCAATCATCTCTACTTACCATTCAAAGATGAGATGATGGTAAGTGTATGTTATTTTAATATCACATATGTGATTTATTTGTTTATATTGCATGGTTTAGATTCTAAGTTATTAAATATATTTGTTATACTTATTTGATTTAAATAAATCTTGATTATTAAAACATTAAATAAAAGCTTAATATGATTAAGAGAAATTTTGTATGGATAAATTTTACTACCACTCCACCAATTACTATTGTGGATCTTATTATGGTGGAATATGGGTGCACGTGGTGGTTTCATGGACAGAAAAGGTTCCAATCTCTAATAGGTAGCCTTCAAGAAATATCTCCAAAAACATGTATAATATGTGAATATTATATCATCGTTTTATTGAGAACAAGTTATTTCAAAATTAATTATTTTGAGCTTAGTTATTTTGCGATAACTTATCTCACTCTGTATATGGAATAACTTATTTCATCACAATTGTATAAATGGTGAAATAAGTTTTTTCAAACACGTCAACTAAACTAAATATCAAATTCTTATCCCAGGATTATATATTTTTTTCCCTCATATTAAACGATCCCATGCATAAATAGTGAGTATATATATATTTATTATACATGAATTATATGCATATAAAAAAGGAAGCTACTTTTGACTTATTTTGATTTTTCTTCTTCTTAGCCACACAAAAGGAGGCAAGAAGGAAACCTAAAAAGTGTTGCACCCCAAAGACGTATATGCATGGTGACGGAGGCAAATTTTTTATTAAGGGGTTTAAATATGAAAAGTAAACACTAAGAAAAGTTAAAAGGAATTTAACATTTGTATATATATAAAAAGTAATTCTAATTATGTATTAATAATATACAATAAGTTATAGTTGAAATAAATTGAATAAAAATATATTCATGATTAAAGTGTGGATATTTCGTTATCTTAAAAGAGATTCAAGTTTAGTATGACATATTCTTCACTTTGGTATCAGTAGTATAACTCTTGACTTGTTTATTAAAAAAATATAACAGTCCAATAACATCGTATAAGTACTCAAATAATTTTAAATTAATTGAAAAGTCCAAAACTTCATCCAATAAATAATTATTCAAACACTCGACAAGAAAAAAAAAAGCATCCTTCATACAGGTGAGCATTTCTTTCATCTAGTAAATGAGAGAGTAGTGCGATATTATGTGAAGTAAATCATGTAGTATGGTTACAATATTTAAAATTTAATGGGGTAAATAATTAAGTGGTGTAGCATATTTTAGTGGTTATATAAGTTACACCAAGAAATTATGACTTCTTTCACCGCTAATTTATTCAATTTAATATTTATTTTAGCATTAAAATGCAATATACATCAACAGAAAATTTAAATAATATGTATAAAAATATTATTGAGAATAGAATAAACAAAAAAAAAAAATTAAAATTCAAAATCATTTCTCCACCATAAGGCTTTCTCTAGTTGTCATATTTTATTATTATACTTGTTATTGTTCCAATTATTTTATGTATGTATATATATCTTGCGTTTTATATTTGATTTCAACATTTTATCCTTTTTGTATGAGATCATAATAATCAAATGATATTTTCAAAATAGGAAAAGGGTGTTTCAAATTTTTTCAACTAACGAGAAATAGAATAAATTTGTCATTTATTTGATCTTAAATATTCTCTTGTTGTTTGATGGGCTGACTCAAATTTGCCACTGAAATATGATAAGTAACCTCTAATTGATTATTGTGATCTCAAATATACCATTATCGTTAAAATACTTGTTTAGATTTACCTCTCAAGTCACTTTTTATTTTGTCAAATATAAATTGTTACTTTTAAAAATTGTAGAGGAAGAATTAGCGCGAGAAATATTGTGGGAGAGATAATTAGACAAGATATAAGACTGCTTTCAACTTATTAAGGACATGATCTTAGATATAAAAGGGTATGGAGGATATATATAGATTAGATAGAAGGTTAATAGGTTTCAGTGTGTTATCTTGTTGTTCCTTAATATTAGTAGTCGTAATATTGCTCCCGTAATTTCTTATCCTTCAATTTTTATTACTATCTATTATTTCTCGTAATTCATATTGTTATTATCTATTGATTTTTGTACTTCCTTTCAATCATATGCAGTGTGAAACATATAATGAATACTCCTATGTGCACATCATTGGGAGTTAGGAAAGGTTCGTGGACTGAACAAGAAGATTTTCACTTGAGAAAATGCATTAAAAAGTATGGTGAAGGAAAGTGGAATCTTGTTCCTTCTAGAGCTGGTAATTAAACGTTATAATAATACTATTATTTTCCGATTCATCATTCTTTCTTTCTTAAATTTCGTGTTAATACATGTGGGTCTAAATAGATGTCGGAAAAGCTGTAGACTGAGATGGCTAAATTATCTACGGCCACATATCAAAGAGAGGTGTCTTTGAACGGGATGAAGTGGATTTAATTTTGACGCTTCATTAGCTCTTAGGCAACAGGCAATTAATTAGTACTTTATAATGTTTAATACTTTAATCTCATATATATTAGTTACACTCGATTACATAAATTATACTACTATGTATTATATAACATGTCCGCTCATGCAATACTATATGTTGTAAAATGTATAACCATATCATCGAAAGATTATGTTATTTCGTGTAGGTGGACACTTATTGCTGGTAGACTTCCGGGAAGGACAGCAAACGATATAAAAAACTACTGGAATACTCGTCTTCTAAGAAGTTAAATACTAATATTACGAATAATGAAATAACAAAACCTCAACCTCAGACGTTATCATCAAATGCAAAGAATGTTTCTTTGTGCAACAACAAAAGTATGATCACAAACACATTAGATAAAGATGATGAACAACGCAACAAAGAAATCGTAGTAAATATTTGGGAGAAGCCAACGGGAGAAACAACAACATTGCCATCGTCTATAGACGATGACAGAGTTGAATGGTGGACAAGCTTACTGGAAAATTGTAAAGAAATTGAGGATGAAGAAGCAGTAGTATTGAGCTTTGAAGAAGAAACTAAGTTATTATCAAATTTGTTGCATGAGGAAAATAATAATTCACCAATCATGCTACAAGGAGAAAGTCATGGTTGGGATATTGACTTATTATGGAATCTACTTAATTAATGTCATTAATATCTCTATTAAAGACTATTTATAATCAATGATATTGTGTACTGTCTGATGAGTCCTGTTATTGTCCCTCATTTTCTCTGTAACTGATAATTTTGTATACTCAGTAACTCGAAGTGGTGTCATTTTATATTATATAGAATGTAATATTTACATGTTTGATCAAGAGTTAATGAGTAAACATATAAGCATTCCTTTGATATATCTGTTCGCGTTTGGTCCTAGTTCGGAGAGTTTTATGAGCAACAACTACTTAGTGATTGTGTTGTTTGTTGTTGTTGTTGTTTCTGTATCAATATATTTTTCTTCCCTGAAACAGATCCTTCTTCCAGAAGACTAGGCACCTCCATTATCTAGTTAAGTTGTCCATTAAGAAGATCAATAAAAAGGCGAACAGTGAATGTAACATCTCTGTTGAATTGTACAGTGAGTAAAGGGAATACAGCACATACGTACCTTTAACGTGAGCTCTTCAAAGCATTGCTCTACATTTGCGCGAGTTTTAGCACTACATTCGAGAAATAAACTTCCAAGCTCTTTTGCTAGAGCAACACCTTCCTCCCTGCGAACAACTCTCTCAGATTCCTGAAATTCCATATGAATTAATCAATCTCCGTAGTGACTTTAAGCATACAAAGAATATATACACAAGCATATTCATTCTAGCAGAAAACTTACTCTGTCAACTTTGTTTCCGACTAACATCTTAACACAATCTTCATTAGTACAATAAAGCTCCACTTCTTTTGCCCACACATCAGACAGGTTTGTGAATGTATCTCTCCTTGTCACATCATAAACTGTGATTTACAGTAATGTTTATCCGATATTATAAACACAGATACGAAAACACAAATGAAAAATTCAGACGAAACATAGTAATACAAGAAATAAATCCGGAAAAAAATGACCCTCTATCAGTCATATAACATACCAAGAATGATCCCCTGAGCACCTCTGAAGTAGGAGCTTGTCAATGTCCTGAACTTCTCCTGTCCAGCTGTAGAAGATATGTTAAAAAATTACAACCTGGCATTAAATCTTCAATACAACTCGAAAAAAAAACACACCTCGAAAAGTATTAGGACGTACTTCACAGTTAGTCTTAACTGTTACGGAATACAGAAAAATCTTACCTGTGTCCCAAATGGTAAGCTTCAATCTTTTCCCACCAACAGTGAGCGTCTTGATCTTAAAATCGACACCTAGTCGATCAATGAAACGTTCAATTCAGATGCTTAAAAGTAACGGCTACTAATCCAGCAAAATCCACAATAATGCAACCATAAGATGCAGAGTAATTAGTTTTTCGATAGATTTATTTTTTCAAGAAAAAACAAATTATATAGCTAAGAAAAAGGGCAGCCCGATGCACTCTAGATATTACATTAAGATAAGTTTAAATGATCAATGCTCATCTTCCGGAGGATTCCTATTACTGACTCCAACTTAGCTTAAATTAAAGCATACATCTAGTAATATAATTGTTGTAGGATGAAGATGAATATACCAATGGTAGGGGTAACATCGTCAACAGCATTAGAAATGAAACTGAGGAGCAAGCTGCTCTTCCCTACTCCTGAATCACCGATTAATAAAATCTTAAACGACAGATCATAGCTGCTGCTGTTCTGCATGGCCGTTGATGATCCTATTCTCTTTCTCCCTTGATCAATGAAAAACTTACTCTCTCTAGCTCCACCAAGAAAGATGCAATAAAATCCTATGACATATCATTCACCCTGTAATATATAGAGAGGGAGAGAAGAGAGAAAAAAATGGGTGGCTGAAGAGTAAGAACAATGTCATTGCAAGTTATGGTTATTCTTTTCCCTTTCTTCTACTTTCTTTCATTCCTGGAGTGCCATTGAGGTAAAGATAGATTGTATTAAGGGGTCAGGCTCCACCAACAAATATTACCACTTTTTAAACTGCTAAGCAAACTTTAGGCAATATTTTAATATTAATTTGAACTTCTAACTACATAGTATTTTTTTTTAATATGAAAATATCTTGGATTAAAGCACCTGATGGCTGAACTCCATTTCAAATCAAGGTCCTCTATACTGAATTGAAATTCTAGTAGCTATAAGCCTATAACAATATTAATACCAGTAATAGTCTAATTTATGATTTCGAGGATTCTCATCTGAATACTAATAACACAGGGAATCCAGAAAACATTGTGTTGGTGGTATCTTCATAATAGAAAACGGAAGTATAAGATGCAGAAATGTTATGGCAGTAAAGAAAAGTATTGTAGCCAGAAGAGTTCAAATTTATTTTCTTCAAAAAAAATTGAAAATCACTATGTACATAATCTGTCTTGCGTATTCTCACTGAACGCTAACAGTAGATAAATATCTGCCAACTACAAAACAAATCATGGGACTAATCCCTGTTTGAGGTTAAGTATGAGGTGTAAACGACAATGTACAAACTCTTCTAATTTACTAAAGAACGTGCAGGAAACACCTTTCGGATGAACTGTAAAAAACGCTGCGAGTAAAATGTTGGTTCCACAGCAGATATGGACATAGAATCAAACAGAACTGATTTGTGTGCATGTTCTATTTTCTTACGTAGATTGTATACTTGCAATATGTCAATGATGCCGACATACAATACAACATCGTATACTTCAAGAAACATTCGTGTATCACCTTTCCCGGGTATATGATCTGCCCTTGCTGGCATATTCACTCCAAGCTGAATCTGGAGCCTGTTTAGGGACATGAAAGACGTGACTTTTAGAATATATATCAACAAAAACAGTAAACCAAAATGGTACAAACTAATCAATAGTATAGTCTACACGCGAAATACTGGCTGTAGGGATGGAGACAGGTAAGGCCGAGGGGGTTCATCCAAACCTCCTTCGGCGGAAAATTGCATTGTTTATACATAGTTAAAATTATTTTTTATGTATATATAGTAGATGTTGAACCCCCTTCGGGTTCTTCGTGTGCTTACTTCTTCATCTACAGAACACCCTTAGTGAAAATCCTGGCATTGCCATTGACTGGCTCAACTTGTAAGTTTTGTGTTAACTACAGTCTTTTGAGTGGCACGGAACTCCTAATAAACAGTAGTATTCATACTTAAACATACTCGCTGCACTGTGGTTCTAGTAACCTACTGAGTCCTGCAGTACATTGTCTTAGCATGGTTCTCTGAGTGTGCTTAAAATGCACCACAAAAGGAAAGTAGCACGTTCAAGCTTCTCGAAAATACCTTGCTGTCCCAGGGAGGAGGAGATCCACTTCCTTGTCACCACCAGTGGCAGATGATGTTCGCAATCGTCTGCCTCTGACATGAGAACCCACTACTACACAATTATCATCTGCACCACGAGGGACTAAAACAAGGCCTTGGGGTAATATTTCATCCTCTAGAGACTCTGTAATTTACAAAAGAAGAAAAAGTTCAGAAATAGCGATCAGTTCTAGAGGCAAATCCATGATTTTTAGTTTGTGTTCTGGACCATAATCCTTCCTTTGTTGTTTTACTGGGTTCTGGATAAATGATTCATACATAGTAAATGAAATTTTTATACAAAAACAAAGCTAGAGCCAAAGCTATTGGGTTCTATCGAACCCGTAAGTATAAAGGTGGAGCTCCACCCCTGGTGATCGTGCGCCCTCACAAATTAGAAAGGAGATCAGTAATATACATTAAAGAAACTATTATGCTTTCTGCCCCATAAAAAAATTACAAAGAACTCCTAGTATTGATACGAAACTTCTGGATTGTATAAATACATCTAGTATTGATATATACAAAGTATGCACAAGCTACATTTAACACAGAAAGAGCCTTAAAACTCTGGTCTATTACTAGAACGCTGAAGTCGATGACAAATTCACTGTACAACGTAAATTCTTTTACTGTTCTGATGCCTATGTCACATACTTGTTTGGACGTTTTTTAAAAGAACGGGAGAGGTATTTCACATCCATTTCTAAATAATTTGATGGCTTTACAATTATAATGTGTCCCACTGTGACCTGCAGTTACGATCTGTGTGCCCAACTTCTATAGAAATGGCATGAGCTAGATGGAAAAGTTCAAAAATTTGAAACCACTGAAGTTCATCGAAATCAGAGTCAATAGAAGTAAGGTTCTACCATGGGCTTCCATTGCTAGTTATCTCACATTTTTGGTTACAAAGGTCCCAAAAATGATTGATAGCATAACAATAGAATAACTCCTAAGCCTGTTTATTAGTGAAAATTAAAGGGCACTCACCTTTGCCTAAATGTTGAAAGAAATGTCCACTAGTCCGCTGGCTGTTCCATAGTCTTTCAATATTTCTAACTCGTCCATACTCAGCAAACAACCAATTCAGAAAGTTTGTCTAATTTTGTACTCTGGAATTTATTCTTTGAGATTAGATTGGTGTTCAGGGCTCTCGTAAATAAGTATTATCTAGACTTTACTCCTGTTCAGATCTTCTGGACCAGTTATAAATTATAGTTACCAGATACTCAATTTACCCGGTTTCACGGTGATAAGCCTCAGAGTTGTTCAACCACGTAATTACTTATAATCTTTCAGAAACAAACCTACCATCATCTGCAACAATTCCCAATCCTTCTGTTGTTGTACATCCACTGCACGAGATGGGAGATCGTAGATGCTGGGGTGCTCTATAATGAACACCTAACAAGAGGCTGTAATCCATTATGTGCTGCTGCTCCAAAAATTTGCTGTCAATCTCAATCTGCCTGTACAGGTACATGGATGTCAACAAACAAAACGAGAGCATTTAAAAGGATTTTTATTGAAATGAAAAAAACAAACATTATTTCAAATCACTTATCCAACTATTTCAACTTTCAGTATATTGTTTAATACATTAATTGTATACTTATTACCATAGGAACTTGAATGAATTCATAGATTTCTCATTTTGGTGTGAAGTATGTGACCATATAAAAGTGAAGACTGTCAGATGATCTCTGGAAGCCACAATTTTTTTATTCCAGGCCAAAGTACCAGATGTGTTAATGCACTCGAAACTTTACTGTGTTTCTTAAACTTGAAGAAATTTGCAAGAACGCATAAATCAGCAAGGGGTTGAAAAGTTAAGGAACTGCTTCACAGGGCAGGGTGGAGCGGGTTGAGATTTTTGCAGGTTAAGCCAACCCCCAACCCAACCCCATTGTCATCCTTATTAACATAGAGACTCTAGAGAAGTCAGGGATCATCAAGCATAAAGAGAAATACTCTCGAACAGTTTTTGAATGCAAGTGGTAACTGATCACAGGTAAAGCACTAATAGATCCATGTTCTCTAAACCATCTTATTAAACATGCAGAAATACAAGAACTAGCCACCTCCATCTTAGAAGAATGGAGAAAACAGCAAGAAAAACATTCACTATTTGCAAATATTTGGTATGAGCAAAACCGGAACTTTCCACCATATTTGATCAGATGAATGATGCAAAACTGTTACTAAGATGCAAAACTGTTACTAAGAATACGGCCTATTTCAAAAAAATGTCACTAAAGCATACAGCTACTATAGTGGCTTAGAAATACTGATAGCCTAATGCAAGGAAATAGTTGTTTTCCCTCTGTTCCAAAATAATTGTTTCAACTATCAAAAGGCCTCAAAAGTATCATGCTACTGACGGGCATTAATCGAAGGGCTAACTGAACCACTTTTTGCAGTACAGCAATGTTACCAGAAAAGCATGACTGGTGCTGTTCAAATCCTTGGATATCTAACTGCACAAAGTACTTCCTATTTTAAATGCTAAATAACTAAAGGACAAGATCAAACTTAAGAATGAAATTTTGTTCAAGCTAGAAAAAAGATTTTAAGAAACAAGAAGTCCTTTTTACTTACATTCCACCAATTTTTTTAAAAAAAAGATTCCATGGAAGAAGTCCTAGCATATGAACATTCGCTAACTAAACAAGAAGCCCTATGGAAGATCTATGTACAAATAAGAAGAAAAGAAAAGGTTCGGTGCATAAACATCAGAGGAAACACATGCAAAATACGGAATATTTTACCAAGACTCACTTTAGTAAAGCTTCACGCCAAGAAGGCTCTAGATAAAAGCAGTAGTTCAAATCTAGATCCTTGAGAATTGTGTTCTCGTCAATTTCGACCTTATTTGCAGATCGTCCAAGTGAGGAACCTTTAAGATCAAATCTTCGGTGGATTCTTAACTCTGTGCAGAACATATTTCCCATTACTACAAAGCGTAACTGCAAATGTAATTGAAAAGAAAAAGAGTTAAGCTTTTTATATGCAAGAGTCTACACATTCTTTCTTCAAATGAGATCATGAACGTTAAAAAGTGTTCTGGAACCATACCACCAAATGAAAAAGACATGGAGAAAAATGATACTCCATCTCATAATGGTTGTATATGTGTTCAACATATTGAATTAACTTGCGGATTATAGTAATGATAATGAAGCTGAAGCATATGGTGATATAACATTTGCACATCAAATTTTAAAATTTGAGTAGTTTATATTGTGAAAGCTGTATAGAAACGGAATGGTGCCAAACATTTTGGGACATCCAAAATGGAAGGAGAGTTAGTGTGCTACAAGATGTATGATCAAAGTACAAAAAAAAGTGAACAAATCATTATATATTAAGATGAATGATCAATCATAAAAAGACAGAAAAATGAAAGAAAGAAACAATACAAAGCAAAAGCAAAAAACTCATTCTGCGTGCACATTAAATTGGTTTATACATTTAGCATAATAACATAGATGGTTAAGTTCTTCCTTTTGACAAGTATAAAACACTTTCACAAATTTTACTCAGATAAACATATGAGTTGGTTATAATTAAATATCTCAACATGTTAGTATGTACATATCAATTTAAAGTTTTTCAGATGTGTTATATGATATTTCATGATTAGTCATTTTTTCTTCTAGGATAAATCAACATCTTACTTAAATTTGTAACAGAACTTTATGAAATTTTGTGTTCATTATTAAAGAGTACACATATTTGATGTAATATAACTTCTTAAGTTATCCTAACTTTATGTTACTCGGTTTGAGGAAACTCACAAGTAAAAGAAGGGAATGATGAAATAATTTGAATGTCTAAATTTATACCATTTGTCCTCTTGAGGGCTTTATCATGTGAAGACCAAAGAATTTAGTGATGAGAGTATTCTCATATGCCTTGACATGACGATGATAATTTGGAAGCATTCGCAGAAGAACCTACATGTAAAAAGTGCATGCAATAAGAATGATTACCAACCCACTAATTGGAGAAGTTCTCTTTTTCATATACCTAACTTAAATGTATCAGAGGATTGCTAATAAATTAGTCAGAGATTTAAAAAAAGAGTTGTTTTGAGAAGTTAACTACATTGTAAGCACTATTTTAGTGCTGCTATGCAATAAATTACGTATCAAAACAAAGACTTTATAGCTATAACAAGAACAAGAAAACATGCCAAGCATTAGCCCGGAAGGATAGGTCTTCAAGAGGCATGTTGAAAGAGAAGAAAGCAGAAATTCCAGATTCGATATTTCCAAGGCAATCTAACGAGATAAATGAAACTTTCGGAATGAGGAAGTAGTTCGATTATCCCTATCTCTATCTCTTAAATAATCTTTTCCAACTACGTGTAGATGTGTTCTCTGAACTGAACAATCATGACCACCACCCTGGTAAAATAGTTTAAGAGGCGGACTGTGATACATCAACTCATGAGATTTAATCATTTAAGCTAAGATAGCATACCTTAACTTCTGACTTCCGTAATGTCTTAATCATGAAACGATCATCTTGAGACAGGAAAAACACACTGCCACTTTTCCCAGGAGAAGAAAGTTCTCTAAGTGCATCATTTCCACAGATGGACATCATGTAGTCAGCAGTATCAATCTTGAACAATTCCCTAAGATTCCTACAAGAAGGTAAATTCATATCCACTTATTCCACACATGCATATAAATGAAGAAACAAAATACTAATAATTAGTTCGACTTCTAAGACACCATCTGTTGCACCTAGAAAATGAATATATGAAGGGATACAAGTGGTTGGCTCAGTTGATCAGTTATTCAAATAAAAATGTTGTATGATTATGCTAAGGGCTTGTATGCGACCCCTTCGGGGTCAACTACGCCATTTTACGTCTAGGGTGTAACCCCCGGTCGTGACAAAAAACAATGGAATCACAAATTGCAATTGATTTTGAAGGTAGAAGATGGTAAATGACAAACCTGAAAACAACTGGACAATAATCTTTCCATTTGAAATCTTCTGATTGATGAGAAGGTGTCAATTGAGATCCTTTTTTAGGAAAATACATCCGAGAGCACGCACAGGCACCAAAATCAGAAGCTCCCACTTCTCGCCTTTGTCCCGGTGTAACTTTCCCCACGCTGTATCTGGTCATATTTCAAAACTTTTCAAAATGAGAAAACTAGAAGCTTAACTGGTCATAAAGTTTCATATACGATAAACAGGAGGACAGTAACTATTTGTCCAGTATGATTGCCTTTATTTGAACCTCAGTGTCACATATGGAGCATGGTGTCTGTTATGTTCAATATTTGACGGGAGTTACCAAAAACTATCAGTGAACCAATTTCAAGCTGGTGATTACAAAGATAGGAAAAGAGAAGAACGTAATTGAAAGAACATCACTGCACTATGTCTCTTTTGGTTTATATGGACTGAAAGAACCAGTGAACTTTTCAATATAGTGAGAGTATTAAAGGATCGTTTTTGTTTCATTTATACTTTTGTGTAAAGAGAGAATCTCTGCTTGTATAAATAGATGGGATGACTTGTTATATGATGGTGCTGAGCCGCAAAACATGTTTGAATATATTTTAATAATCAACCTGGTACATTTATAATGAAATTGAGAGGTACAATATTAGCGCACTTGGCGCAATTGAGTCAAAAGAATTTCATAAGCAACATTACTGTGCATGACTAAAACATGTGCTGAATTGCAGTGAAGAATTTAGCGGTAGACAAACCTCACCTTCATTTGTTTGCGCAGCATTTTAGGAGAAATCAAGGCAAAAACAAATAAAAGTGTCGACATGGTTAACCTCTTCATATAACAAATGGGTCCTACTAATAAACAAGTCTTCACATCCAATACTATTCTATTCAGGAATAACACAGAAATTATAGATGGGATAAAAAGGCTTTTACCAACTCCTCTGACATAAGATGTTTCTATCATCAATTTGAATTCTAGTTTTCTCTAAGACTTGCCCTTTGTTCAATTTATTATTATCTGATTAATTACGTAGTATGCTCCTGCTTCCAACAGACATCTTTTGAGAGAAGTGTATGTAAACATTTCTTAGGAAAAAATATTGTGCAAAAAGAAAAAATATCTGGATTTATGTAGTTTTTCTGAAGATTTTTGAGTGCTTGGTGGAATTAAGAAAAACTTCTTTTTCAAAAACACACCAAAATCACTTTTTAAAAAAACAGCTTTATGAAAGAAATTTTTTGCAAAACGTCTTGAAGAAACTTCAACAAATATGGATTTCTGGAAAAAAGAATGTTACAAGATCTCAGAAAAGTAATGACAAACAAATTCCACCTAAATGGATGTGACCAAAATACCAACCATGATCAACCTCGTTAACATAATCCTCTGACCCTTCGAGTTTAGGAACTTGTTATTCTGTTTTTCGCCTATGATATATTTTACCTTTTTTTAAGTATTAACATGAAATAAATATCAAAAGAAACTACACTTTTTTTTTACTGAATGGTATTCCTTCATTTTTCCATGATTATATAATACAATTTAACAACTTTCAGCATCTGACTCAGAAATCCAGTAGATAGCACTTTGTGGAGATGCAACCGTCCTTTGACTTGCAAAGACATAACTTCGTGAAGATGCAAACTTCTTTTTTAGTTGCCATGATACCAAGGACTTCCATCCTTCCTCCAATTTATAGTGATTTACAGAAAAATAAGAATCATAGCAGGCAATTCTAATGGTCCTTCCAAGTATTCAAGTAAATCGTAAGACGAAACCATGATTGTTAACTACTTCATTTCCAACTCAATATCAAATTCAACTCTCTCCTTTTTCCTTTTTCTTTTCGTTTTTTGTTAACTACCATAGCTAAAGAAGATAGTGGAAATAAACTTAGAAAGGGACTAGTATTATAGCATGATAGATTTATATTTTATCAGTTTATCTGTTGCTTAAGTAGTTCGACAAACAAAAAGGAATCAACAAAAGAACAGCACCAACAAAGTCCAGCTAAAGTCAACCTGCTGCAAACATGAGAGAAAAACAAACTTTGAGCAGATGTAAGTAGTGTACCTGATACCAAGCTGCAAACTAAGCATTACATTGTAACGCCTATGACCCTTAATAATTGCTTCACCTGGCCTCTTTGACTCCCTCACAAGTTTCCTTTGTCTCCTTTTTGCTGCTGTTCTAGCTGGTGAGAATCGATCATTTAGGACAACCTCACTGATTAGTACACCTTGCATGTATTCTCTTTCTAAAATTGGAGTATTCATATCGTTCCCAGTGTCAACACCATCTAAATCATTTCCAATTACCTTCTCAATAGCTACTTCAAGACTCCATCGTCTTTCCAGAGTAACATTAGTGGGATGTGACTGTTCAAGATTTGATATGTCCCCCTTTGAAAGCCTATCATATGAATATCTTGAGGATCCTTTGTTTCCACTTACTTTAACATTTCCTGTATCTACTGAAGAGGAGTGAGAAATATGCGAGACTCGTTTTTGTTTTCTCAAATCTGGCAGTAATCCTTGTTTTCTCAAAGCATTGAGGTAAAATTCCTGGCCAGCCGTAAGTCTGCTACCGCTAGGATAAAATGTTCCCTTTCCATCTTTTAGTCCATGTGTCCATGTCCCAATATAACAGCCACCATCTCTCCAAGTATATGCACCAGGACCATGCATCATGCCATTTAACCAGCTTCCTTCATATGAATCTCCATTGATCCAAGTGAGAGTTCCTTTTCCAGATAACGTCCCTCCCTTCATATTACCCACATAGACATTACCATTCGCCCATTTATACTTACCAGGTCCTTCAGGGGTTCCTCTAATCCAGGACCCTTCGAAAAAATCTCCATTGGGATACACTTGATACCCTAAACCATGTTTGAGGTTGAACCGCCAGCGTCCCCTATAAGTCACTTTATCAGGTGCAATATGCATTCCCTCACCATGCATATAGCCACCTGAAAATTCACCATCATATACAGCACCAGTAGGCCATTCTAGTTTCCCATGCCCGTGCCTCATTCCATGTCTCCACTCACCCTCATACCGACTACCATCAGACCAGACATACTTTCCTGAACCCTCAGGTATTTTTCCCAGCAGAGATCCAGAATACGAGTCCCCATTTGGTAAGAAGAGATCCCTAATTCTAAAGCTGGCGCTTTCAGAAGTATGATTGACTTCACTGTTTGTCCATTTCCTAGAGCGGTTATTTTCATTAATTGACACAGGGTCGAGAGACTTTGTTCTATCTGACAAAGAAAGTGTTTTTCCAATGCTATCAACAATGGCCACAGAGCCAGACATGCAAAATTCCAAGAAGTTTCAGGTTTATATTATATGGAGAGGCAAGATTCTCTCACTAGCTAAAGCGCACACCCAGTATAAAATGATTTGATGAATTCCCCCTGCTTTGACCTGAAAGAAAGAAAAGCAGAGTAGTTGAACTCATCGATAGACATATTCGACCTATAGAACAAAAGAACAAAGTAAATACAAATAAGAATAGGAAGCCAGACCTCTATTCTAATAGTTGTTGCAGTTTGTTGACTCATTTAAGAAATAATAACCATGAAAGTCATATCCAACACCATATTTACCACAAAAGGTCTATGAATTGAATATTCATGAACAGATGGGTATACCATTTATCAGATCATATTGACCTCAATAATATGAACAAGGAGAGTATGCCTAATACAGCATCCTAACTTCCAGGAAATTTTTAGTCCCAAATGATGAGCTAACACTATCTTAACGGCCAAGAATCAACACAAATTTTTTATCTTTTTATACGTTAAGCATAAAACTATTAATCATCTCACTTGGAATCCTTATTCTCAAGTCATTACCCCCCAAAGATGATGCAAATTTACAATTCATATCTACTGGTAGCCCTAAACTGCTGTAGAATTTGCAGAAGAAAAGTGAAACCATAAAGAAACACACACACGAGTCATGATGCCCCCGAAAATACCATTTAAAGGTTGCATCAAACAAATGCCTATCAACTTAAGTCACAGTAATATCAAATACTTTATTCTCCTCCATACTAAAGGAACAAAAAGAAATTGTCTTTTTCGAACAAGATCACACAACCGGTCCCAATTCCAGATAAAGGAGAAGGGTTATGGTAGGCTGACACCCAACGTAAAACTTGCCAATTTACGATGAAACCTCATAATACTAATGGAATAGTGAGTATTCACAAAACCGATCCTACTTTGCTATTTTTGTCAACATTATCATGTTTTATGGTAGAGAGAACTGTAGAATAGGAATTCACCTTCTCACCATCCTATTAAATTCTGTTAGGGATAACTTGCACCCACCTCGACCAGTTCTACGTGATACCTGTCACCTTCCACCAGCAACGGATATACCCTAACACTCCAGAGTTCTCAACCTACTTCATCGACGACTAGACCATCATTTCTATTGCTCAAAGCAAACTAACCTCCAATAAACGATCAAAAAGGCAGCTTGCAAACAGTTACACATTAATAATTAAAAATTTCAAAGAGATTTCGCTGCCATCTTTTTATCACGCTTTAAGCGTGTTGAATTCAAATTTTTCAAGATAAACAAAAGTAAAATTAATCAGTGTACATAAAAAATATTAAAAATCTGAAAGAGAACCATCTAAACCTCAAAAAGAATTACAAAGCAACAATTTACATTATACAATGCAATATTTTTCTATTCGAAAGAGAATAATTAAAAATTATACAGAAACATAACAATCATATACTATATATTTAAAATATATCTTGTAGAGAGAGAATGATACCCTGAAGGACGAGCAATGTAGAGAGAGAAAGAAAGCGGAAAGTTGGAAGAAGTAAAAAGTGCCTTTCAGTTTCAGTTCATGTTTCGCTTTCTTCATTATATGTATGAATTTCGTTTTTTAGCAGGCGAGAAAAAAAAACAGAAAGACAACTTTGCCCATGCAAATACCTTTTTTATTTAATAATAAATTAAGAAGAAAATATTAGGACGACGATACGATCACATTAAATTGATCGTTCCAATCTTTTTATCATTATTTAATAATAAATTTAAATAATATAATATAATAATATTTATATAACAATCAAATAAGCATTATAATTAAACTAACAATACAGTACAAAAAGTAACAATTACCCTCCAAAGAAGGTGTATGAATAGTGTAGTAGTATTGTTTAGAAGGAAATTTGATGTCCTATTTTGGCACATAAATTATAGGGAAAAGGTTAAAAGAAAATTCTCCTAAACTTTTATTTACTAGTTAGATTTATCCTTCGTTATACTATATGATTATTTGTGTTTAGTTGTCATTTTGATGGTTTTCTCAAATCGATTGAATTTACTCAATTTCAACTTAAATTACTGATTTCATTTCAAGCCAGCTCATCTAAATTAATGTAAAATTATTTTATTCTCATTTTATGTTTCATTATTCTTTTTTAAAGTTCAGTTATAATTTATGTTCGAATCGAAATTCTATTTACGAGCAAAGTATTCTATTTAATTAAACAGAAAACTCTTCGATTAAAAATAAAATAATAATTATAATTTTATCTTTAAAAACTTAAATAAAAATAAATGAACTTTTACTACTTCACCATAATTTTTGTGTTACACGAAATTCAAACTTTGTTGCTTGGTGCAAGTATCCAACGAAAGTCTTTACTTTAAAGAGACGATTTCTTTCTTAATTACAAGGAAAGTTGATTAAAAATTAATCTAACTTAATTTGTCTATAATATATAATAAGTCAAATAGAGTTGTATTAAATAAATTGAAGCTAAGAGTTTTCATCAAGTAAGGAATGCGTAATTGCACATACGCTGACTTTGGTTTATTTGTCAACCAATTCTTATAATTATTTTTAATTTAATTAGTGCTTCATCAAATACTCACTTATTTTTTTTTAATTAAAAAACGGAATGTTGTCATCAACGTGCACAAATCATTATGAATTGAATATGGAATTCAAATATTTAATTAGCAAGCTTTGGGAATTAAACTCATATTAAAAATTGACATTTAACTCCTAAATGTTCTTTCCTTATCGATGTGTTTATTTAGCTCATAATTTGTTTTATATGTTAGCCCACTATTTCCTTAGTTCATTTTTACTAGTCATTTATTGACTTAATATTCTTCCTTTAAGTACCTATGTACATTAAATGATTGTTTAAGATATTATTATCAATCCAAATGCTGTCACAATGCATCAATCTTCCTCATCATAATGGAATGCCCATAACATGTGTAGCACAACATTGTTATAAAATAATTTTGGTCGGTATATTCTGATAAGGACTACTCAATTTGTATCATCATTTCCACTATATAATGAACAAACCTATTATTTATTTTTAAAAATAATTGAAGTTCCTAGGTCAAGGAAGTTACTTGTTTTTTTTTTTATTATTATTATTATATAAGATTTATTAGTATTTAAATCTTATAACTTGAATGAAAAAGACGGCTTTTCATAAATAACAAAATGTCGGTTAATGAGTACTCAAACTATATTAGAAACCTAAAAGATAATTTTAAGAAATATATTTCCACTTTTTTTATTAAAAAAACAAACAGTTGTGGTGTTCCAATTTGACTTTGCTTGCTAGATAGCAGCAAATGCCTCTCCTTGTGAACTAAAAAAATTTTAAAAAATTAAAAAAGTTAGATTATTTTTTGGTTTTATAATTTATCAAAGAGATACTTGTATGAAAATTACATTTTTAATTGGCAAAATTACGTAGTTAAGTAGATATATATTAATTAATTAGTAATCATAGTTATAGTTTTAGTTAATTATTATTTGTGACTATATTTAGTGATAATCTTGTGGGTTATATGAGTTTCAAATTTGTGTGATTCGCATGTTTGTATAATTCGAAATTTTTATAATTTTTGTGTAATATAATTTGTATACTTGTTTAAAGTTTACATGTTTATTTTTGTATAAATTTGATATTTCGAGTTTATATAAAAATAACTCAATTATGTAAACATACCAACAAATTATACAAACACACCCACGAATTATACAAACCAACAAATTATACAAACACGCGAAATTATACAAATAAGACAACTTAAATTATACCTACAACCGTAAATATGCAAACTATAGCTATGAAACATGATTAAATTTATTATAGTGGTTATTTGCGAAATTTCCCTTAACAACACACTATTTAGTGTAGATGTATATATAGATTCATGATTTAACTTGAATTAAATCAGTTTTAAGACCAAATTTACTGTAATGCAAACATTATGAATTTAAATTTGATTATGTTAAAATTTTAATGTGTTTTTGTATAATTATTTAAATTTTATATTAAAAAAATTATAAATTCAAATAAACCCGCCAAAAAAGGGTAAATATATCTCTGTGTTAGGCATTTCTTTTCAATATCTTTTTTTCTCTTCAATATAATATATATATAAGGTCTTACCAAAAGGGGAATATTTTAATGGAGTTTCTTGATGTTATTCATTTGTTTGTGTCATACGTTGAAAGATTATTCTAAAAAATATTATGTGGAATTTAGCGTCTGCTTGTATCTATCTATTAGACATTTTTTTTCTTTTAATCCAAAACAAAAATAATATTATATATCACTAACCAGGATCATTAAAATAAATTGGATTGATACAAAAATAATAATTATTTTGAGTTCTACACAACACTAATTTTGTTTGAGATTTTTCGGGTGGGGCTACTAAATTGGAAGATAAAAAAAGTATTACACAATTAGTGTTAATTATTTGATATATGAAGTAATATTTTTTTAGATAAACGTATTTCTAATTAATACATGTGACATTTCTGGAAAATGGAGTTGAAATTCAAAGGATTGACAAGAGATATGAGATATCGAAGGATGATTTATGTGATTCAAAAAATAGACACTTAAAAAATAAGGAACAATTTATAAAGTTCAAACCTTTATAAGTTCAAAACCGAAAAACGACATAATGTTCAAAAACTTATCAAAACTTAAGAGCTGAGGAACGATTTATGAAATTCAAACCTAATATTATAAAACTGATGAATGATTTCATATAATTCAAACTTTACGTAAAAGTAAAATCAACGAATAATTCATGTGATTCAATTCTTTCTAATTTTTTTGGTCATGCCTTAAGCAAGGTTATTTTCTTATGTTCAAATTTTATTTTCGCATTATAGTATGGCTATTTCTTATTATTTTTCAAACGATGACTAAAAACTCATAGCAGACTCGAAAACGGGTCATTCTATCTAACTCTTACACAAACCATTTTAAGCCCAAAATTTACCATAATTGGGCTTCCACTGATTTAATATTGGGCCTTAAAATAACGGGCCTAAGTTAACAAGTGATGCAAAACTCAGCCTAAATACAAATAAAGTCATCTTCATCTCCAAAACCCTAATCAGCAGCTTCTGTCAGTTCGTATTGGATTTTTCGCATTGTATTTAGCTATGGCTCCAGCTAAAGGTATACTTTTTGCTCTACTTGATCTCATGATGTCAATTTTCTGTTATTCGCTATATTTTACTCCAATTATCGATAGATTTAAAGACCATGCGGTATGAATTTGCTTGTGTTGTTAGAACTGTGAAAAATATTTTCTAGCGTTTGGTGTTTCTCTTAGCTTTTTGGCAGTACAGAAGGTATTGAACTCTTTGTTTTTGTTTTTTAATCAGAGTTTGTGAGTATTAATTCATTGATTACGTAGAGATAGATATTAGGTAGTCCTAATTTGTCTTAAAAGAACAATAAATAGTGATAGTGGAAATAAGATCCCGGTAGCGCATAATGAGTATTGATTTTCTTATAACAATGAATCCGATTACCTTGTGATTTAGGCATTGATGAACTTGTTGCTGTTATGGTACATTTTTATGGCTAGATTTTTGCTGGTTAAAAGTTCTCTTTTCTTTTATTGAAGGGGGTGTAGGGTGGGAGTGAGACATGGCTTGGTATAGGTTGGGGCATGCATGTTTGATTTTGTTGAATAGAGGCTGGTGTTATTGAGTTTTTGCTTCCTTTCCGCAAACCAATAGACTGCCATCAGTGATCATCTTAAAAAAAAAATTGATTACCTGGGGCATGTATGTTTATTTTGTTGAATAGAAGCTGGTGTTATTGATTTTTTGCTGCATTTTTTTTATACCAATAGACTGCCATTAGTGATCATCTTCCCTTTGTCTTTTTATGGAGAAGAATTTATTACCTGGGTTTCAATAAAGGCTGGTGTTATTAGTTTTTGCTGCCACTTTTTTGATACCAGTAGACTGCCATTTAAGAAGCATAATTGAATAGATAACTTGAAATGTTGCAACGTTGAGGATTTACTTGTTTTGAGAGATTATTTGGACTTAGTTGCATCTTAGACATGCTCCTAATTAGTAATTACCATGAGGAAGAACTTCTCTATGACTGTTTAGTTTGGAAATTGGATGTTGGATACTTGGATTTGTTGTGTGTTGTTACTGTACTGGCATAGATCCTGCAACTTGATTCTGTTAATGTAATTCTGATATCTTATTTGCAGTGGACTTAACAAAAAAGAAAGACCCCAAAGCCCAGGCTGTCAAGGCTGCCAAGGCTGTTAAGTCTGGATCAACCTTTAAGAAGAAGTCAAGTAAGATAAGGACAAAAGTTACTTTCCATCGACCTAAGACATTGAAGAAGGATAGGAATCCCAAGTACCCTCGCATTAGTGCACCTGGAAGGAACAGACTTGATCAGTACCAGGTTCTAAAATGTCCTCTTACGACCGAGTCTGCAATGAAGAAGATTGAGGACAACAATACCCTTGTTTTCATTGTTGACATTCATGCTGACAAGAAGAAGATAAAAGATGCAGTGAAGAAAATGTATGACATCCAGATAAAGAAAGTCAATACCTTGATCAGGTAATACCCTGCATTTTTTTCTCATATGTTTTATGCTTTGCTCGTTTAGCACTTGTTTTGTGACTGACTCTTGTTTTTTAAAGATCATCATGTGTCTGTTTTTAGATTGTTTTTCTTGATGATGTATCTCTTGAAATTGTACCAAATCTTGATCCTGTTGCATGAAACCACATCCTTGTTTCAATTCAATTATATAATGTTATTTACTAATGTCTCTATATTAATCCAAATCAGGTAAAATATTGGCATGATTTTGACCTTGAGTGGTGAATTCACGGTGTTTCATTTGACATGCTGTAGGAATCAAATTTGTATGCTAACAAGCCCCTGTTTTTAATTGAATATTGTTATGTGTTTTGGGCTAGATTATTTGCTAAATAGTATATTTTTTTTCAGAAGCTGTATTTTGATTATATACTGTAACAGAAAATTTAGCTGCATTTCTTGTGAAATTTTAAGTTTGCCTGTTTCTTCTTGTATCCGGTGTGTATGCTTTTACTTGGTAACTTCTGCCTGTCTTTGCTAATCTACTTTCCTTCGTCCTTGTACAGGCCTGATGGGACAAAGAAGGCTTATGTGAGGTTGACACCCGACTATGATGCTTTGGATGTGGCCAACAAAATTGGAATTATCTAAATCGATTACCTAGTTTTGAATATTTCTCAGTCTTGAGTCTTTATATGAGTTCTATGGAAACTTTTGAACGGAAGTTCCTTGGTATATTCATTTTGAATATTGAGTTTCAGCTATGTACTTTGTTCCATATAGTCAGGCAAGCTTCTTTTCACATATTTATTTTAAGCATTTTAACTTCAAGCTTCTATGTCTTTTTCATACAACCTCGTTACCTCCACAATGAAGGTTTGTGTATGTTCCACCCTTGCATTGAATGTGTTTGCAACTTTCAAGCTTCCAAGTTCTTACTCCTAACTACGCAGTTGTCAAGTCAACAACAGTACATGTCTGTTCGATGAAATGTGCAGTGTACTATTGTAGTATTAGTGTGTAGTAAGCATTGCCATTGTTGAGATGGAGAGAAAGTTACATTTGCTAAAATAACAATTGAATTTTCGTAGCTGATGTGACTTTTTTCCTCCAGTTTTTGGTATTTAATGATATTATAGGGAGAGGATTTTTCGACATTTCAAACTAGTTAATAATCTGAAAATGATTTCGTACATAATTATGTAGGTGTTTGGATAATAATCAAGTGAAATTAAGAAAAAGGAGTATTTGAAGCTCAGTAGAAGTTTGTGAAAAGGTATCATAACACATAATCCTTAAACTGCATTTGTTACGCCCTTTATATTTGTAACGGCTAAAACATTTTTGCCTCTTAAAAATCATTGTCCGTCTGATTCATTGTATCCAAATGCATATTTTACTAGAGTTGAATTTCTGCAACTTTTCAACATAACTTTATGAAAACAATAAAGCAAAAAAGAGATTATTTAGTGTAATTTCGATGTCTTTTATTCTCCTACAAAATCAAATTGCTTCTTTCCCTCTCCCATTTTGAGGATATAGTGGTTGATTGAGAATTTGAAGGTAGCTGGTACACCATTGTTTTAATACGAGACTATGAAGTCAAAGAGGAGGTATGTATTTGATTGATCTGATAAGTTCTGCGTTAAATTAATTTTATTTTTGTTGGATTTTTGCTTAGTTGAGTTCACTAATAAAAAACAAGTATTTTTCACGAAATAAATGGTTCAAATCAAACGTTGATATGATATTGAGTACTATAAATCTATGTTTCTACGATCACATATGGAAGTCCAGATCAAACATTCAACTAGTACAAGAAAATAACAGGAACTTAATAATTGTGGTGAAATATTCGAGAGATTTCGAATATGAGCCATGAAAATAAAAAAAAAAAATTCTCACCAAAAAATAAATAAATACAATATTTCGATTCTAAGTAATCAATAGACAATTATAGTGCTATGAGGCATGAGCTGTTTACTCTTTTTACATTTATGTACTTTCCTTTCCAGTGATCCGTAAAAGTGAAAAAGGAAAAAAATTAAATCTACATTTTGAATTTTACGTAAACGGGGGCCCGCCCCGCCCACCTGTACCCATTTTATTCAAAAAGTAGTAGCCGTTTGAAACATCATATAGTAGCACTACATTTCCCAAAGTCCAATAATACTCGAATCAAATTATAGCGTAATTCAAGCGGAGCTTTCGATTCGATTTTTTCTTTCTTTCATAGTTGCCTGGTGAGAAAACATATTTCTTTTTCTTAATTTTGGTTTGTTTAGCTGACTCGAACTAATTTGGGATTAATGATTGATTATTTGAATTTGATAGCTTATATCTGTTGTTTGATTTGTTTCTCAGCAGTAGATTTGGGGGGATTGCAGATATCATGTCGTTAACACCAGATGTAAATCGGAAAGTTGGTGTCGGAGTAGCTCCATCTCCATCGCCGTTTTTTACACCTAGACCGGAACGGAGGAGAGGACCGGATCCCAGAGGAATTGATTACGGATCTAATCGGTTGGATGAAGATAAAGAGGTCAATGTCCAAGTTCTGGTTAGATGCAGGTGCCAGTTCATCTACTCACTCTTTAGTGTGTGGTTTGAAAGACGCGAATATATACTGATTCTATATCAATTTATGCTGTTTAGTGTGCTAATTCATACTTTTGTGCCTTCCTGTAATTTGCATTTGGATGTGTCTGATTATTTACTGTTGCTTTTTTTTTTCTGAAAAAAAGACTGATTCTTTAATAAAATTGGGGTTGGGGAAGAGAAAGGGGAAATGTTAACAGAAATGAAGAAAGTTCCATCTGTGTTTCTGTTTCCCTAAGTTTTTATCTGGTATAGTTTGCTTCTTGCTCCTCTTTGCAATAATGCTGAGAGAATTGGGACTTGTGACAGCTTATTATAGCTAACAATTAGTGTTGTTCCTTTTCTATGAGATCAAAATCAAGATATTTTAATTTTAAATAGGATGCTTCTGTTTTTCTGTGCTTACATGGATTTGCTAAAACAAGTGTGAGCTCTGATCAATAATTGTCAGTTTTATGATGAGTATATCCTTCAGTACCTGAAATTTAACCAAGATGAAACATTTCCTAGACACAAAAACTGCCTCTAAACAGATCAAGCAAAATAGGTCCAAGGCATGATTTAAATCACCTTTACATGATGAGTCACCTGTTCAAAAATTTGTGCTTATAAAATTGAATGTGAAAAATATAGCTCATCACGCACATCAGTGGCTTGTGATTGATGTATTGTTGTGCATGGTCGGTCAATGTTGTAACACACTAGTTTCAAGCAAAAGAAATGCTTCATTTTTCATTTGGCTAATCTTGATTGTTGTTTTAGGCCGTTGAATGAGGATGAGCAAAGGATAAATGTTCCAAAGGCCATAACATGTAATGAAAGCAAAAGAGAAATTTCTATTGTACAAAATGTAGCTAATAAGCAAGTAGACAAAGTCTTCACGTTTGACAAGGTACAGTTCCCTTGTTTTTATAGTAGCTTGCTTTTTGGTCATTAATTTGATGGTTGACATGCTCTACATGTTAGAATTACAATCGGCTTAAAAAAATGCTATTTACCAGGTTTTTGGCCCTAAAGCACAGCAAAGATCAATATATGATCAAGCCATTTCGCCCATAGTTAAGGAAGTTCTTGATGGATTTAATTGCACTGTATTTGCATACGGGCAGACTGGTACAGGAAAAACATATACAATGGAAGGAGGGATGAGGAATAAGGTATTAAGTGGTTCACTCACTCTACACCATATCATCTTTCACTTTGATCTATCCTGGTCTTTAAATCTTGTTCTTTTGTTATGTCATAGGCTGGTGAATTACCAGCTGAAGCAGGTATAATTCCAAGGGCAGTTCGACAAATTTTTGATACACTTGAAGCGCAACATGCAGACTACAGCATGAAAGTGACCTTTTGGGAACTATACAATGAGGAAATCATTGACTTGCTAGCTTCAGAAGAGCCCTCAAAGTTTTCAGAAGAGAGACAAAGGAAGCCCATATCCCTCATGGAGGATGGAAAAGGTTTAGTTGTAGTGAGGGGCCTTGAGGAAGAAGCTGTTTACAGTGCAAATGACATTTATAACCTCCTGGAACGAGGAGCAGCTAGGAGGCGCACAGCAGACACTCTATTAAACAAGCGAAGCAGGTAGGACCTATTAGTATTCGTCGATTCAAAATGTAAATGCGAGCAAATATTTAAAGTTGCTCTTCTTCTGCAGTCGCTCTCACTCTGTATTTAGCATAACTATTCATGTCAAAGAAATGACTGTTGGAGATGAGGAGCTCATTAAGTGTGGCAAGCTCAATCTTGTTGATTTAGCAGGATCAGAAAATATTTCTCGATCAGGCGCCCGAGAGGTATGATATTAGTATCACAGATTATGCACTTAAAATGATCCCTTGCTGTTGTCATACAACAGTTCAGTGCTGTATGAATGCAAAATATCTACCTGAAGTGTCAATATCCATAAGCTGAACCTATCTTTAGTTTGCGGAGAGGAAATTATACTTCCATGACTTACAGAAGGAGTAGCAGATGTCAAATTAGCGCTGGGAAAATTTACGCTTAGGCGTGACATAAAAGTAATACGGGGAAGCTTTTTTACATACACTATCTCTCAAGCTATCCATCCAAGTAACTGTTAAATTGAATGACAAATTAGCCCTGAGAAATGCTTCAAAATAATTGTGTCTTTCTTCTGGAGAGGTGGTAACAAGTCCTGGACCGCATTTACTACATTAACCTTAATGAAGGGAATCCAGCTCATAACATATATATCTGCTTGAACTCAGGGCCGTGCAAGAGAAGCTGGAGAAATCAACAAGAGTTTGCTTACTCTTGGTCGTGTCATAACAGCTTTGGTTGAACACTCCATTCATGTACCTTACAGGTTTGTGCCAAGAAACACTTCTTTTGGTGTTCTCCCTTTTCTCCCTCTTAAATATTCTTATTTTTTATTACACAGGGATAGTAAGCTCACAAGACTACTGCGAGATTCACTAGGAGGAAAAACGAAAACTTGTATCATTGCAACAATTTCTCCCTCCACCCACTGTCTCGAAGAAACTTTAAGCACTCTAGATTATGCACACCGTGCTAAAAACATCAAAAACAAACCGGAGGTTCTACTGTGATTCTTTTGCTTAAAGTATTTTCTATTTGAAGTTATATATGTAAATTGGGCGGAAAAATCTCTGTATTTCAGGCTAACCAGAGAATGTCCAAGGCAGTGCTGCTCAAAGATCTATATTTGGAACTAGAAAGGATGAAACAAGGTATGTTACTGCACTTTGTTTATCATTTCCCCCCCTGTTTTCTTTGTTTTTCTACTAGGATACTGAATTTACCAGTTGTGTCATTTGCCTTATCATTAAATCAGATGTCCGAGCTGCAAGAGAAAAGAATGGAGTTTATGTTCCACATGAAAGATTCTTGCAGGATGAAGCGGAAAAGAAGGTATATGTTCTCAGATTAGCTCGCAACTTCTAATAATAATTAACTCAGACGGGATCATCTGTGAGTTTCTCTGACCACAGTACAATTTCCCCTTGTGTAGAAAATTGGCCTTCAACCAGAGATTATAGTTTAGTCTTAAATTATTTTGTTCTGGACTACAGACCTCATATATTTGGAATTAAATCGTGCAAGATTGGACAATTCTCTGGGTCTCAAGGACTTTCGTAGCCCTTTCTGATTTATTTAAATTTTAAATGTCATTATTGTATCTTATAGGCAAAGAATGAGAAAATAGAGCAGCTGGAGATTGATCTAAACATTAGTGAAAAGGTAAATTT